TACACAGAGGGAGGAATAGAGAGAGACAGAGCGGTAGAGAAAATCAAGTAAGAATATATCAACATGGTATAAATATATCATTTTTAAAAAATAAACTACTATAGAAAACTTTATGCCAGTATATTTTAGAACTGTAAAGATGAAATAGACAAATTCTTTTAAAAACATATTCATAATTCTTTTTTGAGTGAGTTCTAATAAGTTATATACATTTTTATTTTTTTATTTTTTATTATGTTATGTTAGTCACCATGCAATACATCATTATTTTTTGATGTAGTGTTCCATGATTCATTGTTTATGCGTAACACCCAGGGCTCCATGCAATACGTGCCCTTCTTAATACCCATCACCGGGCTAACCCATCCCCCCTCCCTCCTCCCCTCTAAAACCCTCAGTTTATTTCTCAGAGTCCACAGTCTCTCATGGTTCATCTCCCCCTCTGATTTCCCGCTTCATTTTTCCCTTCTTCTCCTAATGTCCTTATGTTCCACAAATAAGTGAAACCATATGATAATTGACTTTCTCTGCTTGACTTATTTCACTTAGCATAATCTCCTCCAGTCCCATCCATGTTGATGCAAAAGTTGAGTATTCATCCTTTCTGATGGCTGAGTAATATTCCATTGTGTATATGGACCACATCTTCTTTATCCATTCATTTGTTGAAAGGCATCTCGGCTCTTTCTGCAGTTTGGCTATTGCAGACGTTGCTGCTATGAACATTGGGGTGCATATGGCCCCTCTTTTCACTACATCTGTGTCTTTGGGGTAAATACCCAGGAGTGCAATTGCTGGGTCATAGGGTAGCTCTATTTTTAATTTTTTGAGGCACCTCCACATTGTTTTCCAAAGTGGCTGTACCAACTTGCATTCCCACCAACAGTGTAAGAGGCTTCCCCTTTCTCCACAACCTCTCCAACATTTGTTGTTTCTTTCCCTGTCCATTTTTGCCATTGTAACTGGTGTAAGGTGGTATCTCAATGTGGTTTTGATTTGAATTTCCCTGATGGCTAATGATGATGAACATATACAAAGATAAACTCAAAATAGATGAAAGACCTCAATGTGAAACAGGAATCCATCAAAATCCTGGAGGAGAACATAAGCAGTAACCTCTTTGACATCGGCCACAGCAACTTCTTTCAAGATACATCTTCAAAAGCTAGTGAAACAAAAGCAAAAGTGAACTTTTGGGACTTCATCAAGATAAAAAGCTTCTGCACAGCAAAGGAAACAGTCAACAAAACAAAGAGGCAACCCACGGAATGGGAGAAGATATTTGCAAATGACACTACAGATAAAGGGCTGGTATCCAAGATCTATAAAGAACTTCTCAAACTCAACACCCAAAAAACAAATAATCAAGTCAAAAAATGGGCAGAAGACATGAAAAGACACTTCTCTGAAGAAGACATATAAATGGCTAACAGACCCAGCTTTCTTTTGAGGTCTGTTGACATGAAAGATGGTTCTCCATCCCTTCACTTTCAGTCTGGATGTATCTTTATTTCTTTTTTTTTTTTTTTTTTTTTAAAGATTTTATTTATTTTTTTTAGAGAGCGAGCGAGAGAGAAACAGCATGACAGGGGAGAGGGTCAGAGGGAGAAGCAGGCTCCCGGCTGAGCCAAGAGCCCGATGTGGGACTCGATCCCAGGACCCTGGGATCATGACCTGAGCCGAAGGCAGACGCTTAACCATCTGAGCCACCCAGGCGCCCTGGATGTATCTTTAGGTTCAAAATTAGTCTCTTGTAGACAGTTATATACATTTTTAAAGAAGAATATATGCAAACATTAAAAATGAGCAAAAATTAAACAAGATTGTGGATATATACTTATTTATTTTTTTAAGTATTATTTTACTTATTTTTGCGAGAGAAAGAGCGTGTGCACATATGAGCGGGAGGAGAGGCAGAGGGAGAAACAGACCCCTCGCTGAGCTGGGAGCCCTACTCAGAACTCGATCCCAGCACCCTGGGATCATGACCTGAGCTGAAGGCAGATGCTTAGCCAACTAAGCCACCCAGGTGCCCAGATATATACTTCTTTAATAAAATTATTTTTCAAAAAAGCAAAAGAAATATAAAAATAAATCCAGAATAGTGATTGTTTCTGGGTGAAAAACAAGGTAAAGGGATAGGGGTTGAGAAAGTAGATGCAATGATAGATAGGCTCACAGGTATTTATTTTATTATGCTTTTTAACTCAAATATATGTTACATATTTTGTAAATACATAATATTTCATAACAAAAAGTAGAAAAAATCAATTAGATCAGTAGATAAAATTTTTTTCTTTCAGATTTGCAAAGATTCAATTAATTATATATCCTCTGTTTGCAAAGATGGGAGAAACTCATACTCTAATTCACTGCTGGTGATGGAATCTTAAATCAACCCAATCATTTTAGAAGGCACTTTTGCCATATTTAATCAAGCCTTACAAATACATATTGGCACAGCAATTTCATTTCTATTGTTATTATGAGGAAGTAACCAAAGGCATGTATATATAAAAAGGTACATCAATATCTTTCATAGCAGAGTTGTTGAAAACTAAAAATTGGTAATAACTTAAATGTCAGCAGTGAAGTATTGACTAAAGCAATATGACTATATCTGTGCAATAGATTACTATATAGTGACCGAGAACTACATGGTAGAAGTAGATTTATTAGCATAAAAAGACTTACACATTATATTGTTAAATGACCAATATCAGTATTGTTAAATGACTTACATATCATATTGTTAAATGGATTGTAGAACAATGTGGTCCTATTTTGTATGATTTTTCAAATGCATAAAGGAAAATCCTAAAAGAAATATAACAATATTTTGACAATTATATTTGAGTGAAGTGATTTTCGGTGATTTTTTTTTCTTTTCTTCCTTGTGCTTATTTATATGTAACCTACAAATGTACTTTAGATTGCACAAGTTTGTTTTCCTGAATAAGTTTAACATTTGTGCTAAATCTACTAGCTTTTTCCTATTTCTTTGCATTCCTTGTGATTCATAATGAAAGAGTTGTTTCTCTCCCTCTCAGCTTTTATTTACCATTTGCTCTTTGGACAAAAACAAATAATTATTGACTTCCCACTGTAGGTCCAGCATCTGTCTAGGTACAAAGATCAAAAAATCATATTTTCTGCGTTATGGATCTTCTTTCCATGTGGACAGAAACAAAAAATAATTAATAAAACAAAACAATCATTCAAATGGGGACAGTCAACAAAGCATATGATAGAGAATGACTGGAGTAGAAAGGCAAGAGGGAACTTCTTTAGATAGGAAGTTTCTTGGGGTTGACATTCACAAATTCATGAACTCCCTCTACTCAAACGCTTTTGTTCAGTCTGCCTTCCCTATCACACCCCTTACTTTCTTGCAGTGATTTTTTTGCCTCAGAGATGGATCGCCCCTTCCTACAATTAAGCTGTATATTTCTTTATTTTTTAAGATTTATTTACTTATTTTAGAGAGAGAGAGCACGCATGCACTCGTGGGGGGAGGGGCAGAGGGAGAGAATCTCAAGCAGACGCCACGATGCATGCAGAGCCCAACACCTGGCTCAATCCCAGGACCCACAAGATCATGACCTGAGTCAAAATCACAAATGGAACACTTAACCGACTGAGCCACTCAGGCACCCCAGGTTATATACTTCTAACACAATTTTCTACTGTGTTCTAAATCCTGTGTTCCTAGCACAGGATTTAGAACATAGTAAGTATTCAATACCTTTTTTGATTAATTGAATTTCTATTTATGAACTTTTTATAACTTACTCAGCTTGGTAACGTCTTCCAGCACATTAAAAAGCACCATAGATAACAAAAACAAGCTTCTTAGAACTAATGCATAGCCCATAAGAAGGCATTTGAATATAAAAGAAAGTGTAGAAAGTAAATTGAATTGCGGCATTTTGAAGTCTCTATATTCAAGGAATTTTATCATTTAAAATATTTTAGTCCTGGGATGCCTGGGTGGCTCAGGCGGTTAAGCATCTGCCTTTGGCTCAGGTCATGATCTCAGGGTCCTGGGATCGAGCCCCATGTCAGGCTCCCTCTTCTCTCTCTCTCTCTCCCTCGCTCTCTCTCTCTCAAATAAATAAATAAATAAATAAATAAATAAATAAAATACTTCAGTCCTGTTAGGAAAAGTGTATGTTCTTGATCAAGATCTGATGAATGGACTTAGAAAGGAAAGGAAATAATTTGTAGACAGCAGGGAAGAAGGTCATCAAAACTGAGAAATGGTTTTAATGTTTTATTTCATTTTACTGAGCAGGCACTTACATAACACTATAGATCAAGAATTGTTTAAGTACCTTACAAATATTAACTTGATCAATCCTTATAATCTTATGAGGAAGGTAACTTTACCATATCAGTTAAGTCAAAAACAAATATCAGAAATTTCAGACGGTTCAACTTACCTCTATTTTACAGATGACAGAATTTAGGCATATTAGGTTAAGCAATTTGTGTGTTAGTAAAATGCAAAGCTAAGTTTTTAAGTCAGGCGGTCTGGCTCAAGAGTGTGTACTTGTAACCCATGGCACTATAAAAGGAAAGAGTTTACCTAACTCTGAGGTATCATTGCTGATTTCAATATAATTAGGGCAAGAATTAGCACTACCTAGGACAGAATTATTAAGTAGGTCATTGTCTTTGTCCATTACCTGGCCCCCATTATTTAAATCCCATGACAGTACAGGAATACAGCTTTTGAAAGAACTGGAGTAATTATAAGGCTTAATTCATGCATTAGTTGAAAAGCTTAAGAAGCTATAACCCAGTGATCCAATTTCAGGTTGATGTTGTGATAAAACACACACACACACACACACACACGCACACACAAAGAGAATTCAAAATAACTTGAGCTCTTTGCTTTTTTACTAAAGGGCAATATATATTGAAAGGTAAGAGATAGGCAACAATATCTTTTTAAAATCCTCTTTTTGTCTTTTATCTATTTTTTCACACACTACGGCTACCCCCACACATCTCAATGTAGAACCTCTAAAGAAAAAAAAACACTATCTCTAATAATGGTAATTTTTTAATATTTCCAAAGCACTTTTCTTCAGATTCTGCATTACAAACCCCAAAAATAAATCTGACAAGGGAGGATTCTCCTCAGAACACAGAGTAGGAAAAGAGAAAGTCCTGTCCAAAATCCTCATCAAGGAGAAGTGAGAAAATGTGGAAACAATTGTATATTAATACTTCTTATTCTATCACATTACATAGGAAAGAATACCATATCCTCCTTGACTATGGGCAGAAAACTCATTAAGAAAATCCTGGAATTAATAATTAAACTAGTAAGTAGAGCATCCATGGTGCTGTGTTTCGCTGGATTCATGTCTGCAGCACAGTCAGGGAATGTTAGAGATGCTTGTCTTTCTTGATATCAAAATCACTTAAAACAGCTTCCTGGAGCTCAACACCTGACTGAATATCCTCCTCATTGCCACTTTCATCTCTTTATTCCTAAAAGTGTAGATGGCAGGGTTCAGAAATGGGGTAATAATTACATCAAAAATGGCAAGGAACTTATCCACCGGCACTGTGGGAAATGGCCATGAGTATATGAAAATACATGGACCAAAAAATAAGACCACAACTGTGATGTGAGCTGACAGAGTAGAGAGAGCCTTGAACAAGCCACCTGAAGAACGTTGCCAAACAATGACCAAGATGAAGATATAGGAAATAACCAAAATGAAAAAAGTTCCCAGAGAGATGAAACCACTATTGGCAGTGACCATGAGCTCCAATCTGTAAGTGTCTGTGCAGGCAAGCCTAATAAATCGAGGAAGATCACAGTAAAAGCTGTCCACTTCATTGGGGCCACAAAATGGCAGGTTTACAACAAATACAAGTTGGATCAATGAGTGGATGATTCCAATGGTCCAGGCTACCACCAAGAGTAAAATACAAGTTCTGAAGTTCATGATGGTCAGGTAGTGGAGAGGCCTGCATATAGCAACATAACGGTCAAGGGCCATGGCAATGAGCAGAACCATCTCAGTTCCTCCAATAAGATGAATGAAGAACATCTGAGCAATGCAGCCTTGGAAAGAGATTACTTTTCTCTCCTTGAAAAGATCAGAAATCATCTTGGGAGCTGCAATGGAGGGAACCCACATGTCAATAAAGGAGAGGTTGGCCAGCAGGAAGTACAGGGGGCAGTGTAAATGGGAGTCAGAGATCACTGTGAGCACAATGAGGAGGTTTCCTAAAATACTTGTTACATAGAACACAGAGAAAACTAGAAATAGGACAAGCTGCATCTCCAAAGAACTGGTGAGTCCCACCAACACAATCTCAGACACCACCGAATTATTTCCTACCCCCATGGTTTCAGTCACTTTGGGCTCCAAATTTGCCTGAAAGAACAGGAAAAAAATAACAAATTGGGATTACTGGCCATATCCATCAAGGTTCCATTAGAGAAGCAGACCACTAGGAGATAATATACTAAGGTATTTCTTAGTGATTTGACCTTGCATAATCATGGGAGCTGATTCAGCAGTTTCTGTAAGTCTATTGTCTTTGCATCTGATGACGTAGCTTGACGTCCACAGGACAGGCCCCCAGGAAGGGAAGATGGATGTAAATTGAAGGAATACAAAAATAAACTGGAACACACAAGCAAAAGCTAAAGTCCTCAAGGACAGACGAAAATTAGTGTCAGTGTTCATTGCCTCTAACCTCAATGGTATAGATGTACTGCAGAAGCCAGGGCCCTCCACCACAGAGCTAAACACACAGCGGGCCCACAAGTCAGAGAAGCTCAAGAAGGATCCCAAAGAGGGTGTGGCAGTTGTGGTCCCGGCCACTGCCTCACCCCAATGAGATAAGCCAGCAGAGAAATGACAACGTGTATGAGCTATAAATATGGCCGCTGTTCCACTTTAACCTAGAAATATTGCAAAAGAATATCCTTTACAATGTATTCTAGTTGGAAACATAGAGAAAAAGGAATTCTAGAGCATGTAACTCAATCTAGGCAAGCTGACACAATACAAAGCCACCATACTGTCTATTTAAAAGAATATAGGAGCGCCTGAGTGGCTCAGTCAGTTAAGTGTCAGACTCTTGTTTTCAGTTCAGCTCATGATCTCAGGGGCATGAGATCAAGCCCTGCATCTGGCTCGGCACTCATCAGAGAGTCTGCTTTCCCTCTCCCTCTGCTCCTCCCCCTGCTCACACACGCTCTCTCTCTTTCTCTCTCAAATAAATAAATCTTTAAAAAATAGATTTCTAAAAGAATGTACAAATTTTGAAAATTAACTACCACCTCTATTCATTTGGTCAAACCAAATTTAAGTGGCACTTAAGTAGACTTGACAAAGGCTCTAAATCTATTGGTCCTAATCTCACTTCATCTCCCACCAACTTCCCTTGTTATGACTGACTCTGTTTAAAATTTCACCACGGGTTCTCCTCTGATGTCAGGAAGCCCCTTCAAGAGAGAAATGGAAAAGAATTTAAATAGAGTTTTGTAGTGAAAGGAAAACAAAGGTACTAAGTATTATATGGCAATAAATTGTTGCTTCTACTAGCCCACAGGGACTTCAAAATGCCTAAAAACATAAAAAGAAAAAAACTGGCAGAACTACAAAAGAAATAGGGACATTCTGTATACTTGTGGAAATAGTCGGAGAGTGAAACATTTCCTTCAGTGAACAATAGAACAAACCAACAAAATAGCAGTCAGCATAATGAAGGTTTAAAAACATGATTAATCAAATTGAATTATATAGATCCCTGTCCCCAATATATGCAGAACACTCAAGTATTTATAGAGCATTACAAAACTTTACCATATCCTGTATTATAGAGCAAATCTTAACAAATTTCAAAAGATTGCTACCATGCAAACCATATTCCAGGCCCAAAGCAATTAAGGTATAACCACTAACCAAAATGTAACTATAAAATCTTCGTATGTTTGGAAATTAGGTAACACACTTTTAAATAACTCTTGGGTCAAAGATGAAATCACAATGGAAATAAGAAAACATTTTAAGCTGAGTTATAAAATATTTTATACCAAATCCAATAGGATGAAGTGAAAGCAGTAGAGGAAAATATATAGTCTAACTGCTTATATTAGAGAAAGAAAAAAGGCTTAAAATTAATCTAAAACTTAATGAGCTAAGTGTCCATCTTTAAAAGTAGTAAACACAGCCACAAAACAAAAACATTTTCTATTAATGAAAGAGAAACAAAAATAAACTATAGAGAATCTACAGAAACAAAGGCTGTTCTTTGAAAAGACAAATAAAACTGATAAGCCTCTGATGAAATGAATCAAGCAAAAAACAGAGAGATGGCACATAGAACTAATATCAAGAACAAAAGAGGAATATAAGTAGAGATGTTACAGACATTGAAAGCATAATAAGAGACTATAATAAACAACTTTATGCCAACATATTCCAAAATTTTGATGATATCAGCAAATATCTAGTAAAACATAACTTACCAAAACTCACTGTGCTGGACATTCTAGAGCCACTGTCCTTCTCCACCCTGCTCCACACCTCTGGAGAAGGCATTTAAGGACTGCATAAACTGGGCTCCCCTGCTCTCACTGTTGGCTGCTTCTGATCAATGAGAGGCACTAACAAGAAACAAGAGGCCAGGAAGAGAGAGTGAAAGATAAGGATATCAATCGCCTGACAGTCGCCTCCCGGCCCCGGGCTGGCAATGTCTGCATTTCTCTTTAATAGGGCAGTCCTCTCCTACATCTATAACTTCCTTTACAGATCCCAGCAACCACCCTGGGATGCTTCACCATGCCTTACTGGTTTCCCTTAATCCCATCCTCATCTTTCTAAATAGTCTACTCATTGTGAATCTTCCCTCTATTACTCTACTTGAGTGTGCTATTTTCTGTGGGGACCACAATTAATAAGATAGGAAACCTAAAAAATCTTATAACTGCATTAAAGGGATTAAAAAATTTAAGTTGAATTTTAAAAATCTTCCGGTAAACACAATTCTTTTTATGGCAAAATCTACCAAAAATTCAAGGAACCAATAACTATAATTCTACTGATATTGCAAAGAAAGAGAGAAAATTTTCTCCCCTACCTTATTTTTTGAGACTAACATAATGTCCATACTAAAATTTGACCAGGGCAGTATGAGAAAAAAAACTTCAGGGCAATATCACCCACGGATTTATTTTTTTTTAAGATTTATTTATTTATTTGAGAGAAAGAGAGCACACTCACGAGTGGAGGTGGGAGGCAGAAGCAGACAGAGAGGAAGAGAGAGAATCCCAAGCAGACTCCCCACTGAGAGGGGAGCCCTACTGGGGCTCGATCCCACAGCCCCAAGATCACAACCTGAGCCAAAATCAAGAGTCAGACACTTAACCGAAGGAGACACCCACGCGCCCCCATTACCCATGGATTTAGATGCAAAATTAATAAAAATAATTTTGCTAAAAGGAGGAAAAGTGGGGCAGTATAGCAGTCCAGGTTTCCCAAAAGCAAGCACTGAGGTGGAGGTTAGGGTATAAGATGATCATGAGAGATTAACACCTTTAAGGAGAAGTCAGAGGAGGCAGGATTGGGCAAAAGACAAAGTCTAACTGTGATGCAGACCCAACAAATCCCCACCCTACTGAGCCCTGGAAGGAGTTTTGCTCCATGAGATTGCCCCATGTGGGCTGGAAATAGCTGGGCACTTATACTTCCCTTCACTCAGTCATCCAGCACATGTGGGCTGCTCTGGTCAGGGTGTGACCTCAGGGCTATCTGCTGATGGCACTCCCCATGGCTGGGCAGCAAATCCCTCCTTGAAGGAAAACCCAGGTGGCAGGGAGGGCAGGAGATGAAGGATTCTAGTCTAGACATGTAAAGTGTTAAGTGAAAGGTGGACATCCAGTAGTATTCATCTTTAAACAATGCACATTTTTTTTTGCTTTTGCCTCCTTTGCATACATAAATAACAGAATAATAGGAAAAGAAAAAGCAAGGGATTTTTTTAAAGACTCTATTTGTCAGAGAGAGAAAGAGAGAGAGCACACGCAGGGGGAGAGGCAGGCAGAGGGAGAAGCAGACTTCCCGCTGAGCAGGGAGCCCTATGGGGGACTCCATCCCAGGACCCTGGGATCATGACCTGAGCCAAAGGTAGACACTTAACTGACTAAGCCATCCAGGCATCCCAAAGCAAGGGATTGTTAACACAAAAACCACATGGAGGTTAACTGTAGAAAGGAAAGAGAGGAACAAAAACAGAGAAACACGGGAACTTTATAAGGTACTAGAAAAACTCTTTTAACCTGAGTGATGAGTGCACAGGAATTCACATTATTTTTAATATACCTATGTTTATACACTCCTCTGTATGTAGAATATTTCACAATTTTTAAAAAATAACAGAAAAAGAAGATGGATAGGAATATTCCAGATGGGGGAACAGCATGTGCAAAGGTACAGCGGTGAGAGTGAGCAGCAGTTTTGGGTGGAAAACAATGACTTTTATGGCTTCTATGCAAGGTTGTGTAGGAGGAACATAGGAGATAAAAGGTAAAGATAAGTAGAAAACAGATTGCAGAGGCCCTAGAAAGCCAGGCTATGGGGGATGAAATACTCCATAATGGGGATTTAAGTTGAGGAACTTGATACCTGTAAAGTAGTGTTTTTTTAAAGGAGCTAAGGCTAGAGAGGTGACTTAGAAATCATCTGCATAGATATGATCATTGAAGCCACAAGAAATATATATATCTAGAGGAAAAGTCAAATATGCTATGAGAAAGGCCCAAGATTTAAAGTCTGGGAGAAAGGGGCACCTGGGTGGCTCAGTTGTTAAGCATCTGCCTTCAGCTCAGGTCATGATCCCAGGGTCCTGGGATCGAGCCCCACATCAGGCTCCCTGCTCAGCGGGAAGCCTGCTTCTCCCTCTCCCACTCCCCCTGCTTCTGTTCCCTCTCTCACTGTGTCTCCTCTATCAAATAAATAAGTAAAATCTAAAATTAATTAATTAATTAATTAATTAATCAATTAATTAAAGTCTGGGAAAATGAAACAAAAACAGGGAAAGAAAAGGTTCCAGAGAACCAGAGAGTTCAGAACTCTAGAAGTCAAGACATGAGATTATTTCAGAAGGTGAATAGTGTTGCAGTGGAATCAAGAGGAATAAGAATTAATTCAGCGTTTCTGGGATCAACAAAAGAAAACTGGTATTTGAAAGCAAGGCACTGCTAGGAATTCTTCACTAATGTATTCCCAGTGCCTAGAATGTAACACATCGGATGTGCTCCATGAATATTTATGGAATAAATGAATAATAGAGGGAGGAACTCAGACTGCCCAGGGTTAAGGTAAAAGTAGGCTGTTAAGAAAGTTAGTCTCTTGGGGCGCCTGGGTGGCTCAGTCGTTAAGCGTCTGCCTTCGGTTCAGGTCATGATCCCAGGGTCCTGGGATCGAGCCCTGCATTGAGCCCTGCATCGAGCCCTGCATCGAGCCCTGCATCGAGCCCTGCATCGAGCCCTGCATTGGGCTCCCTGCTCTGCGGTAGGCCTGCTTCTCCCTCTCCCACTCCCCCTGCTGTGTTCCCTCTCTCGCTGTCTCTCTCTCTGTGTCAAATAAATAAATAAAATCTTTAAAAAAAAAAAAAGAAAAGAAAGTTAGTCTCTTGAGAGTATACAATTTAAAAATAAAGGAGGAGAAGAATACATGGAGAGAGCCCAAAATAAAAGGACTTTTAATGAGTAAATAAACAGGAGAAATGAGTGTTTCATAGGAACCAGTGGGGGAGAATATGAAAGTGCACAACAGCCAGAGGTAACTGGTCATAAGGCTCTGGAGTAGCAGAAATGGATGAAATAAAAAATAAAGATAAGAAGGCTTAGCCTTGCAAAATACAAGGGCCATGTATTGTTCTAAGTCAGGAAGGGAAAAGGGAAAAAAAAAATTTGTGAAGACACAAACATGTTATAATAAGGCTTCTTGTTATAGCAAGAACACTAAAGTAGTAACAGGTGAATTTGAACTGTACTAGATCACAAGGTCTGTCTTTTAGTGGCTATACTGTCAATGAGGTTTTTGAACCATAGATTTTCAAGTAGATGTATAAAATGATTTCTGCCTATTACCGTCCCTTTTTTCATTTGATATCACCATCAAATAAATAAAAGAGGGATGCCTGGATGGCTCAGGTGGTTGAGTGACTGACTGACTCTTGATTTTGGCACAGGTCGTGATCTCAGGGTCCTGGGATCGAGCCCCACATCAGGCTCCCACTGAATGGGGAGTTTGCTTGTCTCCCTATCCCTCTGCCCCTCCCCCTGTTCGCACTCTCGAGCTCTCTCTCTCAAATAAATAAATAAATCTTTAAATAAATAAATGAAAAGCCCTCAAACTAAGGAAAAGATCATCCGACATCCTGCAGTTTTACTACTTGAAAAAGAAAAAAAAAAATCGGGGCGCCTGGGTGGCTCAGTCATTAAGCGTCTGCCTTCCACTCAGGTCATGATCCCAGGGTCCTGGGATCGAGCCCCACTTTGGACTCCCTGCTCCACGGAAAGCCTGCTTCTCCCTCTCCCGCTTCCCCTGCTTGTGTTCCCTCTCTTGTTGTGTCTCTCTCTGTCAAATAAATAAATAAAATCTTTAAAAAAAAAATCAAAATTTTCCATGATTTATCTAGAATCTGGTTGGGATGGAGTGGGATCCAGGGAAGCAGGGAAGAGAAACCAATAAGAAATAGAGGATGAACCAATAGACCAGAGCTTCAAGATGATACAGTAGTGAGGACTGATGAGCCGAAAAAGGAAAATACAAGGGTCCTGCAAAATCCAGAGTGTTCCTGGTTCCCAGTCTCTGCCCGCCCCCGCCTATTCGACAGCAAAATAATATTCCAGAAGCACTAGCTGTGCCTCTCTACTAATCCAAATTGGAGATTTCCCATTGACTGGAAAACAACCCAGGTATTCTAAGGCCTCTGTGTTTGGGCCCCAGCACCAACTCACCCTATCTTCAGCTAAACAAACCCTTCAACATCTCTGAAACTCTTTTCTTCCTTTTCTTCAGTCTCTCCCTTCCAAATAAAAAACGCTGCCTCATCTATCTTGAAATGTTGTTCATTTTTCACAGCCCCATTTAAGTGCCACCCATTTCATGAAACCTCCCCAATTATCCTAGCAGGAAAAAAAAATCTTGTTCCCTCTTTGCCGTAGCACTTCCTACTTAGCACAGCACCTTTTGTCCTACAGTATAGTTACATGTGCATGACTTGGTTCCTGTGTTTCCAAGCACTAGAGGGCAGGACCTCTGCATTATTCATCTCTATCTTCATCCTAGGAGAGTTTCAGAGGGCAGAATTGTCAATTCTAGGAAGTCAGTGTTTGCCAAATTAATTTGAATTAATTCCTTTGCAATTTCAACTTAACTGTTTAAAATAAGATATTTTAGAAGATGAAGATAAAGAAAACATACAAAGAGAAGAATGATGGTAAGGAGTAGAGA